GCACACCCCGGGGACGCGCACCCCCTCCCTCGCGCGCGCCCCGGGGAGAGCGAGCGCCGCACGCCGGCGCGCATACCCGAGACAGAGCTTTACTATCTCGCTCCCTCTCGCGCCCCTCCTCGCTGGGCATTCAAACAGCTTTCCGACATCACCAGCCAAGGATTTTTTCCCCCCTCTCCTTAGTCGCGGTCCGTCCATCAGTACCTGCGGGGGGGAGGAGGAGGAGGGAGGAAAGCGGAAAGAGGAAAAAGCATAAGCTTGAGCCTTCCGATCCGACCACGAATACTCCTGTAATAAACCCACCGCCCCAACAAATCTGCCTTAGCAGCCGCTGCTGTCGCCGGTCACTTCTCGTCTCAGCGCTTCCTTTGCTTCTTGGCTAATCGGTTTGTTGGGCTTAGATTTGATAAAACAAATCGTTGCTTTTAAGCCACTTGCATTTGTTTGTTTGTTTGTTTGTTTCCTTAGAGGCTCTCTACGGGGGGCTTCCTCTCCCCCCCCTCCCCGCCACCTCCGTTGGAGGTTGGATTCAGTTGGATTTGGCGTCAGGCTCCGGGGTCCTGGAGGCTTTTTTCTCCCACGCACCCCTCTTTGATTTCCCCCCCATCTTTTGCTTCTCTTAAGTGTGCATTTTAAAAAAATAAATCCTGATTTTTGAAGCTGAGCCGGGGAAAATGGGCAACGGTGATTGGGACCGAAGGGGAGTCTCTCCGTCACTGTTGCTGGGACGCGTGCCTGTGCTGGTGTCTTAGAGCAAGAGCCTCCCTGAGCTTTCGGAGTGGAAGGTAAGGAAGGGGGATCCAGGGGTCACCTTCCCTCTGCCAGGGGTCGCCACAGAGGAGCTCTCCGTCTAGGTGTTTGCGGAGGGAGGACAGGAAAGGAAAGGCTGTTTCTGGCAGATGGAGGGGCTGCGAGCAAACCCGACTGTCTGTATTTACTTAAACGCCGCAGTTGAAAAGTTAGAGAAGTCTGTTTTTCAAGAGATGTGCTGGGTCAGAAGGAGTAGGCAGGGAGACCTAGAAAATCTGATGGTTGTGTGTGATTGGGGTGATTTTATGGGGAGAAATTTTTAGGTTAGAAGGAAGTTAAGATAAGGGGAGGCAATGGGTCTTCTATTGGGGAAAAAAATTTAGTGGAGTGATGGCGCCGTCTATGTTTGACTAAACTAAAGTGTCACCGAGAAAATCAGTTTTGAGAATAGCTAAACTAAATGCCGGTTTGCTTCTCAGCAGTAGACAAATAAGTAAATAAATAAATAAATAAACACAACATCCTTGAGACCTTGGTAGCCATCCTTTAGACACCCCCACTCCATTCTTTCTTGAAGAGGGAAATACAATTGTTTGAACTGGCCCTGCAGTCGGGGGCGGGGGTTGGGGGGGCGGCAGAGTTCAATGATTCATTTTTGATTCTTTAGAATAAAACAAGGCTCCGTACACCAAGGCTTAAGGATTAAGATAAAGAGCATTATATTGAGGGGGCTCTCTTGAGCAAGCTTGAAAGTGAAATCGGAGCTATTTCCTCACTCTTTCTAATTCTTGATGAGCACAGCAATGCAGACATGCACTGTCAAATAAATGGAAGCAAAAGTACCGGATTTCATTGGGAAAAGAAATACGACCTCTTTTTGAGTTACCTATTATAAAATGAAGCCCCCTTTCATGGATGGAATTCCTAATTTAGACACTTACTGTCACATTGGCTCTCAACGCCTACACTCTATCCTGAAGAACACTGCGCAGACCTGCATTGCCTGCAAAGTGCTACAGCAAAAAAAAAAAAAAAAGAGGAAATTATTTCCAGAATTTCCTGCAACTTTCCCAATTTTTTAACCTTTAAATGCTCATTGGCTTTATTTTCTCAAGAAGAAAATGCATTATTCATTGAGCTGTATGCTTGAAACAGAGAACGCTGTTTTGATAGTCCCAGCAGTTCTGATGTTATTTTAAACTGCTGCTATATAGAGATTTAGAGTTGGGGCTGTTTTCTCCTATATCAAGACATAGAATTTGAATTATGATCTGGAAAATGCAGATCTATCTTCAGGGACTTCGGTCACTGGTATTTGTGTGCATGCGTTGGTGTGTGTTATGCAATGGGAAGGAAGAGGGTTTTATCCTTTGGTTCAGAGAGAGGCAAAGACTCGAAAACTCTTAACTGTCTATATGTCTGTATGTCTGTCTCTGTTTACAGAACAGTGGAAGAGACTGCAGCCTAAAGACTTTTATAATTAACTTGGCATCACTTTTCTCAGCTCAAAGGCTAAACAAAAAAGCAGTGTCATTTATTCTAAGAAATAACTTCTTAAAGGTTAAAGCTGAAAAAAATTCGAGTTATTTTTGGATAACAACTTACAGAGGTAAATATAACCAAGGATTACTTTATTATGCAAGGCCAGGTTAAAAAATAGAAAAGGAGCTTTGGAGCTCTTGTTGGAAAGGGAGCAATTCAGTAATTGAAATCTGCTAGGAAAGAAAATACTAATGTCTTTTATCTATCATGTGTAAATCTTAAATTACAGTAGATAACTCTAGATAAAATAGTCCTAATTAAAAAAAAATTAAAAGACTGAAGCCAGCTCAATTACCGTGGTTCTGGGATTTTTCACTGACATTGCCTTTGGATACAGATACTAATACAGTGATCCACTTTATGTATCCCAAGAAGGCATGTCACATTGAAATGACTGCCTTAAATCCTGGTTCTTGGTGGTGATGTTGAAAAGTCTTCCTCATGTATCTACCTATCTATACCCCTTCTCAGATGATGGTTTTAAAATTTCATTAATCCACATGAATAACAGTGTTTCTGCACAGGAATTCCCATCAGTTCACACGGTGGTCCCTGCAAAGACAAGTATGGGCATTTGGGAGATGATGTTTCATCCTCAACAAATTATCATTCATGTTTTTAAAATCGTGGCTATCCTTTATCGAAATTATTTTTCATGTTTAAGATAAGAGAAATAATGTGATGACAGCTGTTCCCAGATTATCAGATTAGATTTTGTGTGATGATGTTTACTGCAGGCCGACTGAGGGAGAGAAAAGGTTGTATAGGTTGCTTAAGAATATTTCAAAAATTAGGGGCGCCTGGATGGCTCGGTCGTTGGGCGTCTGCCTTCGGCTTGGCTTATGTTCCCGGGGTCCTGGGATCGAGCCCCACGTCAGGCTCCCTGCGCTGCGGGGGGCCTGCTTCTCCCTCTCCCTCTCCCCATGCTTGTGTTCCTTCTCTCACTGTCTCTCTCTGTCAAATAAATAAATCTTTAAAAAAAAATTTTTTTTCAAAAATTAAAATTTAGCTTATGATATTTTAAAAATATATGTTTCCTCTTCTTTCAATAGACTCATAATGCACTTGGAGGAAATCCTGATAGATAAATAGAGCATTCCTGTTAATCATCTATTAAATATTATTTTTAAATTGAATGTGGAGAATTTGGCCATTGTGAATGACCGCGTGAGGGCGCTGTTCACACAGCAACATAATTTCCTAGCGTTATAAAATAAAAAAATTACCTGCCCTTCTTTTAAAAAGGGTTTTTTACTGAAATCTTGAAAACAGCTGGCTGTAATATTGGAAGGAGTTTCTTTTTTTCAATGCGCGTAGACTCCTACTTGCATTTTACTTTCATTGCCATTTTTACAGGCCAAATGACATAGGATGAAGGCTGTTCGTAACCTGCTGATTTATATATTTTCCACCTATCTCCTGGTTATGTTTGGATTTAATGCTGCCCAAGACTTCTGGTGTTCAACTTTGGTGAAGGGAGTCATTTATGGATCGTATTCTGTAAGTGAAATGTTTCCCAAAAACTTTACAAACTGCACTTGGACGCTGGAAAATCCAGATCCAACCAAATATAGCATTTACCTGAAATTTTCCAAAAAGGACCTTAGCTGCTCTAACTTTTCCCTCTTGGCTTATCAGTTTGATCATTTTTCCCATGAAAAAATAAAGGATCTTTTAAGAAAGAATCATTCTATAATGCAACTCTGCGATTCCAAGAATGCTTTCGTTTTTCTACAGTATGATAAAAATTTTATTCAAATACGTCGGGTGTTTCCAACCGATTTCCCAGGATTACAGAAAAAAGGGGAAGAAGATCAGAAATCCTTTTTTGAGTTTTTGGTATTGAACAAGGTGAGCCCGAGCCAGTTTGGTTGCCATGTATTATGCACTTGGCTGGAGAGCTGCTTAAAATCAGAAAATGGGAGAACAGAATCATGTGGGATTATGTATACAAAATGCACCTGCCCTCAGCATTTGGGAGAGTGGGGGATCGACGACCAGTCGCTGGTTTTGTTAAATAACGTGGTGTTACCCCTGAATGAGCAGACCGAGGGCTGCCTGACCCAGGAGCTGCAAACCACCCAGGTCTGCAATCTTACCAGGGAGGCCAAGCGACCGCCCAAAGAAGGTAAGTGCCCAGCAGAGAGGGGGAGATGAGGTGGGAGGGGTGTTAGGAGATGGTATTAAGTTGTGTGGTTTCAACACAAGGGCTTAATCATTGCTCTTTAACTCTATCATCTTTGGAGTCATTTGATTTGTGATCTTTACTAATAAAGGTCCCTTAAGCTACTTTTGGGTTTCAAGATTTTAGAGATGGGGTGGTGAGGATGGGATAGCTCTCATCAGGATGCCCTGGTAGTGCGTCAAAAACGTGGAGCCAGTTTGCAGTGGAGGTTGGTGAGGTGGGGGGTCTTTATTGGGCTGCAGCCCCTTGGGGAGATTTGTAGGATTTGTAGGATTTCTGCCTGATGCTATAGCCTGATGCTATAGCCCTGTAAAAAGTACCCTTCACTTCCTCTGGTCTTTGCTCTCTCTGTCTCTATGTCTCACTGTCTCAACCAAGACCCCTTTAGTTGTGCTGCCCCAAGTTGGGGAAGCAGGACAAAAAGGTGACACAAACTCAATAGCAAGCCTGTTTGGACCAAATGACTTTCTGACCCCTGAAAACAAGGGTGTCCCCCTCCCCCACAGGCCCTATAATTTTAAAAAAATGCTTTGCACAATAAATCCCGTGTGCTTGCTCTTTCGAAACCCCACTGGAAGTGCAAACTCTGGGGTCTCCTGGCTGTGAAACCACTTGGAGGCAGGGGTGAAGGGTAGAATTAAACACAGGCTGATCCTGTAAAACCTGTCAGCCCTCTTGGGTGATTTTTGCTCTCCTCGGTCCCCTGTTGATACACACGAGGAGAGTGGGAGCATGTCAGGGATGAGCTAGATGGAAGAAATAGTGCAACGGAAATGCAGAGGAAAAAGAAAAAAGTACAGGAGTGATTTATAGCTTTCACCCAGTCCCCAGTGGGGGAGCTACCAGAGGATTTCAGATTGTGGATTACGTTTAATAATGCAAGAAAGCGGACATATTTTGAGAAAATGACTTTCCTGTTTGTAAGGTTAACGGATGTGTTCCATTCCTTTGAGGACATGGCTGATACGTATTTGTTCTCGCTCCCCAACCCTGCAACTAGAGAGTGTGTTGATTTTTTATGCAGGAAATGTTTTCTGATCGCCACAAAGATCCCTGTCTGTGGAAAGGGACAGCCAAGCTCCAGTCCCTCTTTCCTCCCCCTTCCCCAACAGAAGTTGTCTTTGTGGCCAATATAAAATTGACACGTTGTTGGAGAATTTTCTTTAAGAGTAGCCAAGGCTTTGTAAGGGGAGGGAAAGAGAGAGAAGGGCTTAACTAGCTAGATGCGGTTTCTCTGCTGAAAGCAATTTGGGGGATGGGGATTATGGAAGAGCAATGGTACACGGGGAGAAGACGTGTTAGAAAATAAATACAGACTAATGGCAATGAGAGAGGGTTGAAAACCTTTAAGATTTCTACAGGTCAGTGTTTCACTAACAGCTGTGGCTGAAGAAAACAAAGTGGTTTTAAATTACAGGAGTTCTTTTCTCTAGTAAAAATCCCAGAGAAGCACTTGCAACTGCAGGGATGGTATTTAACACCATTTAAAACTAATTAGTGTCCCCTAGAATAAGAAGCTACAGTACACACAGAAAATGTGATGCTACAAGCTGGCTAATAAGACAATTAACACCAGAAACTAGTATTTGTTTGTTTGTTTTATTGCTGTTTTAATAAAATCTAGAGAATCTGTTTTGGTTTTTTTTTTTCCAGTAGTTAAAATTCTATCATGAAATTGACTGCCGATGAGGAGACGAAAGTGAATCTAGTTCTGGAAGCTTTTTTTGTGAATGGTAGCAAGGCACAAAAACAAAGTTGTGTGCACATTAAGCATGATTTTCAAAGATTTTGCAGGTCATGATCATGAGATGTGGGTTGAAACAGTGCTAGGATTTATAGAAGTTGGACTAGTCATTTGTTTTGTAAATGAGTAAGAATATGAGTGATTTTAGACATTTGATGTATAAATCACGTGGGAGCACGTCTATTTCTTTTGGCTAATTAGCTGGCAAAATGAGAAAGGAATAGCTCCATAGACAAATAAGTGATTATGTTAAAATCATTATTGTGGTACTAGAACTGAACTAGGAAAACTTTGTATAATAGGGGAAGAATATATGCTGTATCAGTAAAATTGCACAGCCTGTATTCTCTTTATTCTAAATGTGTGTTCTTTAATTGTTTAGGTATTCTGAGTCAGAAAGGTAAGGATAAGTAATTCCTGATGACATAATTGTAGCTGCTGCATTTAGAAGTAATTCTTATAAAATATATTCGACATTCCTTACCTCACTTAAAGAAGATCTTTTTGGCATTGCTGTGTTATAGGAAGGAATGTGAAAATCTGCAGACTCTTAATTTAGTAAATTTTATGCAAAGTGTATTAAATCTTAAATATTTTATATAAACACTATAGAAAATCTTATGAAAGAATTATTTAATACCATTTCAAATAAACTACCATATAATGATATTCATGAGGTTAGAGGTTAATAATTACATACAGTTGTGCTGCTCATTCATACCTAATTTTATTCCAAAATGTCTTTACTTTATATGGCAACATTTAATCCCAGGTTTTAAAATAAGGCTTTAAAAATTCTACTTACATATTATAATAATAAATGATTTCTATTTTCTATAGAAAAATAGACTATCCTGTAAGTCATCAAGGGAATAAATACAAAATTATTCTCTATAGTTTTTCTTTACTTCTGTTTTATTCACTGTAGTAAGTACTGAAAACCATGAGTGGAGATATTTTCTACATTCAGGGGCACCTGGGTGGCTCAGTCGTTAAGCGTCTGCCTTTGGCTCAGATCATGATCCCAGAGTCCTGGGATCGAGCCCCGCATCGGGCTCCCTGCTCAGCTGGGAGTCTGCTTCTCCCTCTCCCTCTCCCCCTGCTTGTGTTCCCTCTTTCGCTGTGTCTCTCTCTGTCAGGTAAATAAATAAAAATTAAAAAAAAAAAGATTTTCTACATTCATTACATCATAGAAGTGGCACAAATTGGATAGAAGACTCTTTACATGCAATAGATGCAATTCTAGGTTGTTTTGTGCAGTGCTGGTGGTGATGGAAATGGTGTACCAAATGCTGAATATTTTGAATGTGTCCACTGAAATCACAAAATCTTATTTAGTTAATATTTGAGGAAATAATAGGCTCCCAGGACAGAGATGTTGATTTTGTTGACATAGGATTTCTGCTAAAATGTTTGTTAATAATACATTCATGTACTAAAGAATTTCATAGTCAGAAAACAGCAAGAAGAAAACTATCGCGGTTTGTATTGATGACACCAACAATTGCAAATGTTATCTTGAGTATATTATAAGAGTAAATAATTGGACTGCTGCTTTTTAAAGTAATACATTAATGTGTCTTGTTTTTTAAGATCATGTTTGACATATATGAGGGTGATATAGGATTATAAAAACTTACTTGCCATTCCCCAATTTTTATGTGAAAATTTGAAAGCCAAGTAAACCAACAAAATGAAGCCTTTTAAAAATAATGATGTCTTATTTCAGGTAATGTTTACTAAAAACTGTCTACATTTAATGTATATAAACTTTTTTTTTTAAAGGAAAATCAAATGACATTGCTGTTTACCTGGTTTTCAGATATAAGTCTGGGGAGGGACTGGCATGTTTTCATGAGGCCTTTACTACATTTTATAAGACTTTTTTTTTTTTCTACCATAGATGAATCTGGACTATATAGCTAAAATATAAGATGTGCTATAAGATCTTACTTCTTACTACTTCACCTAAAATAAGCAGCTAAAACAGTTTTGGCAGAAAAATTCTCTACCAGGGTATCTAAATCACATAATAAGCCTTAATGGAACCTTTGTTTTCTACTTACATCAATGGTGCTACTTATGTGAAGGGAAATTGGGATCCCTGTATAGATTCCAGGAAATCTGAACACACATACTCATTTGTCTTTTCACTCTGCCTGTACTAATCCTTGATATCCTATCACCCCAGGGAAGTCTCACTATGTGCCTGTGTAAAATCTAGCCTGAGTTGTGTGTGTGTTTACAGTGCTAGGTAACCGTTTTGTCATCTACAGCAATATGTCTCTATCAGTGTGTTTTCATTTCTTTCTACTCTTGCTCTTTTTGCCCTCAGAACTGTTCAGCATGTTTCGCGTTCCTCTTTAGTGTCCTTGGATCTTACTTCCTTTGTAAATGATTGCCATGATCCCACACTCTCTAACGGAATGTAGAAAGACATATTGAGTCTGTGGTTCCTTGAAGATGCAGAGCCTGAGAGTTTGCTTTACCCCTTGGCTGCATCCCATGGTGCTCAGCACGAACTGTACTTCTGTTCTAGCATTTATCATATTGCAGTGTATTTTCTGTCTATATTTCCATCTCCCTCCACTAGACCTGGAAATTCTTCAAGCATAAAGACTGGGTCTTCAGTTGTCTATGACAGTCTTAATAGAGCTTCAGTAAATATCGAATGTCAAATGAACAAAACCAAAAAGATCTCAATAGGAAAGATAGTAATAACATGGGTTACAATCGAAAGAATAAAACTACATCATTTGGGGAAAGAGGCCACCTTTTACTTTCTGGTTTTTTATGGAATGGAAGATGGCTACCATTTATATAATTTCTAATTCCATTAATGTATTATTTATGCCAGCTTCTGATCTCAACATATTATTTAATATCACTTTTTAAACAAGAAAAAAGAATCAATAAGAAATATTATTAATTTTATATTTATATTAAAAGATTTATGGTCCATATAACTTTCTACACATGGCTATCTACAAAAAAATGATAAGAAAATTTGCCCATTTCTATTTAACTGGTTTCATTTCTCTTTATGTTTCTCTCTTCTGACTCTAGCATTACTTCTACAGTAATTACATTTCCCAATCCTCTCTTGCACAGTTTGAAGACAAACATGCAAACTCTTTCCAAGAAAGAGGAAAGGAGTATTTGCATGTCAAGTTCAGTGCTTCTGTTATTCACTCCTATT